CCCAAGGAACCTGGGCAACCCGAGGAAGGCACCTTCAAGAACAGTAATGTAACATAACCAGAAACCAGAGGGACACAAACTGGGCGAGGCCTAGTAAGGAAACAAAACTCATGAACCCTTGGCAAACCCATTACCAAGAAACCTAGAGAACTCCGGCGTGACTGGGTCTGGCACCCACCAGTCTCTTCACTAACAAATGGGAGCCACTTAAAGCAAATCCTAACCATCCCAGACATGCGACGTCCTGATTTTTTCAAGACGGCGTCCCTGGAAGTCCAGACCCTTTCCCCAGGGCTGGTTTTATATTTTCTGACGCTCCCACGGGCCGACGAGGGCCCCACGGGGCCGAAAATAACGAAACACGCCCGTCCTGATTTTTCTGCGACGCGAGCATTTCGTGGATGGGGTCTCCTCAGCGCGTGAGATCGCTGTCCCTTCACGGACATCTCCCCGGCAGCCCGGTCCAGCCAGCAGACTCGGACGGGGGGGGATGGTCCAGCGGGGTTCCGCAGGACCCCCCCCCGGAGGGACCGTCTGCTCCAGAAGCTGTTCCAGAAGCGCCCCTGCGCCTCCTCCAGACTCCAGAGTCCGACTCGAATCGAATTCGTAGCAGGCCCCAGGAAAGCCCCAAGCCAGTCCCAAGAGCTTCCAAGATTGCCCCCATGTATCCCGAACGGGTCTAAGACGACCCCCAGCAGGCCACAAGAAACCCCTCGGAGGCCTCCGGGAAGCCTCCTGTAGCCTTCCAAAGACCCCAAGAGTCCCACAGCGTGTTCCTACAGCCGACGACGGGGTTTGAAAAACTGAATTCGCGTACTTTCGGGCTTCGATGGCGAGACTTAGGTGGGGCATGTCCCGTACGAGTGTTGCACTCCATATACCAAGCGACTGCTTCTCCCCCACACGCGGCTCACACGCTAAAGAGGATGACCTACCATCACGAAACAACTTCCCAATGCTCCCGACCTGTTGAAAACTGTTGACTGTCATCCAGAACTGACAGAGCATTCCCGAAGAGTGTCCGGTCGGCGCCTTCGCTAGCCCTCGATCTCGAAACCGCTTGGATTCTGCAGGGAAGCCCCCGCACTCGCCTACAAGGGACGCCAGGGCCAAGCTGTACTTCCGCCAGGGTCAGGGACCCCCCGCCCTCGCTGCGCGCTGGTTTGTCAAGCCCTCCTGTGCACGACTGCGTAGGAGGGGCTGACAGAAACGCACATGCTTTCATGCGCGCGACCGCGCGAGAGAGCAACGGCAAGGACAAAAGCGGAGGGGAGCCAGAGAAAGAGAGGAGGACAAATCACGTACGCTCGGGGTCTGGATTGGGATGTGTCCAGGCTCCGCCTCGCTGCTGCCACTCGTGCGACCTACGTCGAAGTTCGCTCGGATTGTTTGCAACTTTGTTCGTCGAAGTTCGATCGAAAGGGGACGCGAAGCTTGGGCCACACTCCTCCCTGGACATCAGGACTCCCGCACCATATGTATTTTTTTTTCCGGAAGCCTCCCCCGATTTAGCCGCCCCCCTTTTCGTATCGCACTGTAAATATGCTTTTTTGTTGACCCATCGCCCATCCTAAATATGAAGTTGTATCCTCGTAGCCAAACTGGTATCGGCATCCCCCCGTTCATCTTTTGCGAAAAAGTATGCGCGCGCACTCGTGCGTCAGAACTCATCAGTTCCAAAACCACTTGCAAACATTGGGGCGAAAGGCACAAGTGCGCGTGGTCGCGCGCGCGTGCCGAAATATTCAACAACCTCAGTTGTCGTAGGGATGTCAGCAACGGCTCTCCCGAAACACACATCAACCCATATGGTTTCGCAACACTCCTGCTCCACACAAAACAGGCATGCGTTCGCGCTCTTGACGTTTCCGGCCTGCTCAAACAATGCTACCAAGCCAAGCGGGCCTCGCGCGCCCGTGCCGACATCGTTCGAACGCCCTTGCGCGCGTACGGTCGCAAAAACTCCTGCGCAACAGACGGACATGCACAAGCGTGCGACGTCGAGGGCGCATGCCGAAACCCTTCAACAATCTTGCTATTCAGAAGAAGTCATAAACGAGCGTCGCGAAAACACTTGAGAAGCACAGGTTTTTGCATCATCCGTTTCAAAAACTTTTTAATGTAAAAAACCTGCGCGCGCGCTCTTGCGAATGCTTAAGAACATCGCAGGTGTTTCAACACGTTTATACCATGCTACCAAAAAGGGCCGATCGCGCCGCATGTCGATCGGACCCTCGAGCACTTGCGCGCGTGCTGGGAGGGAGGAGACGGTCCGTGTCAAACAACACCACGCGGACCACTCGAGCGCGTCGGCCGCGCGCGCACGTCGAACTCTTTCGAAAACTTTCACCACCGACGCGCGGACATCGTCATCGTTATCTGCGGGCATGATCAACATCGGCACCGTCATTAGCCTTGCCGTCGTCATCGCTACTCTCATCATCGCTGCTCTCATCACCACTACTTTCATCATCGTGTCTACCAACGTCGACGTCGCCATGATACCGGGCCCGCCCGAGTCACCGACTCTCACCGGAGTGCCCGCTGGAAATGCCCAACGGTCAGCGCCACCGCGGCCGCGTCGGTCGTGCCGCGCTAGCTGGTCGCTGCCCCTGCGTGCTTGGGTTGGCGTGGCCGCAGGGATGCACCAGCAAACGCCACGCATGCGTCGCAATCGCCACCGCATGGGTTTTGCAAACCAAGTTGCTGGTGGGTGGGTGGGATGTTTGCAAGAGCATCGGATGCGTCAACTCTTTTGTTAAAATCATATGCACCCCATAGATACACCACGTAGGTGACGCCACATACATTGCACCGTTTGAATTGTGCCACGCAGCTTGCATGGATGGCTCAAGGTAGGTTGCACAACATAAAATGCCCCACGTAGCTTACATAGAGTGCACCACGTAAATTGCATTCGTAAAATTCTCTACGTGGGTACGCACGCGCGCGCACGTAGAGAATATTTCGGACAGTCTGGGTGTACCGAACCGTGGTTTGCAAACAAAAGTGTCCATCTCTAGTGCAAGCTGAAGCGGGCCCAAACCCCAGCCTAAATTGCAACGTTCGGGGCGTTCGACGCGGGGGAGTGACAGCCGTTTCGAAAGAAAACGCTACATTTGCAAACCGCGGCCTGCGTGATCAGGTGAAATGTGAAATTTGGGGCTCGGGGGGGGCTCTCGTGCCATCTGCTGAACGGTGTACCTAGGCGCTGTTGTTCGAAAACACCCCTTCCACCAGGAACGCGCCCTGCGGATTTGGCTGATGCGAAGCCCGCGGCTTCTTTCGAGGCCGGCCAGCTTGCACCGCCCCCATCCCGCATGCGCCGCCGGACGGAGCCAAGACCGAGATGGGAGGAAGGAAGGGGGACAGAGGCGTGCAAGCAGAAAAGGGAAGAGGGAGAAGGCAGGAGGGCAGAAATCGAGGACGATGGGGAAGGACGGGGAAGGGAGGGAGGTTAGTGGGAGTGGGAGGGAGGATGAGGGAGACGAAGAGAGGTGGAGGAAAATGGAGGTCGCCAGGAGAAAGAGGTCACAGAGCGCGCAAAGACCTCGATCCTACAACCTCGTTCCCCTCCTCCAGGATACTCCCGTCGTCGTCGGATACCCTATGAAGGAGGAAGAGGAATAGGGAAGCAGCAGGTATTGTACACAAAAAGATAGAGGAACCAGGCAAGGCTGTAGACCACCAGCAGCATCCAGCCCGCCACCATGATCAGCAGGCCGTTGCAATCGATCCCGCGGGACATGCACCAGCCTATCCCGCAAGAGTCCTGGATTCTGGGCGGGGAGGAGCTTCGGGGGGGAGGGGGAAGAGGCGAAGTGGGGATGTATTCCCCAATCAGCGCTTGCACTCAAAAGGTCCTAACGGAGGTTGAAAGATTTGGCGAAACATCCCGGTCGATTTCGGTGTGCGGCTGGGTTCCCGGGTTCCCAGTTCCAGGTTCCCCAGGTTCTCGGTTGAGGGTTCCGGGCCGATTTCGGTGGGCGGCGAGGTTCCCATGCCACGGCTATCAATCTCATGATCAACCTCACGATCCATCCCTTTCAATCGACCTCATCATCGATTTCATTAACAATATTCAAATCACTCTCACGATCATTTTCACAATCGATCGCAATGTGCATCCCACTCAATCGACCTCATGATCGGTCTCACTATCGAGCTGACTCTCGATCTATTTATGGATCTTTCTATCGGTATCACTTGTGATCGCACTATCGCTCTCACAGTCGATCCCCCTGTACATCGCACGGTTGGTCTCACTATCGATGCCACTCAGTCGACTTCACTTTCGGTCTCACTGTCGACCATACTCTCAACCTCGCTATCGATTTCACGAACGATACCACAAGCGACCTCATATCCATCTCGCGCTGGACTCACTATCGATATCACTATCGGTCTGACGTTTGCTCCCACCATCGATCTCACTTTCCAACCACGGGACACCACGTGCCGATTTCGGAAAACAAAATTATATTCATAGATGCATGCGCAGAGAATCCATGGTTACATATGTGCATGCAGACATCCAGATGTGTCATATATATATATATATGTACATGTGACCAGGGAGCACACAGTCAAACACATGATCATTACGTGTTACGGCGGTGCTACAGGCATCTGGTTCCCGGGTTGGTGGGTTCCCTGTTTTGGGAAGCTCCCGGTTCACAGTTCCCAGGTTCCCGGATGCTGGTTGCGATCCAATTTCGGTGGACGGCGGGGTTCCCAGCGTTAAAGTTCTGGTTCCCCGCCTCCTGGGTTCCCAGTCGATCTCATTATCGCATTCACTAATCGATCTCACCTGATCGATCCCAATCGATCTCACGACCGAGTCCACTATCGGTCTCACTACCCATGTTACTCAATCGATCTAACTTTCGGTCGCACGATCAGTCTCACTATCGATACGTCAATTGATCTCCCTGTCGATCACGCAGTCGAGCTCACTATCGATTTCACGATCGATGTCAATTATAATCCCACTATCGATCGCATTGTCAAGCGCACTATTGATCTCATGATCGGTCCCACTAGCGATTTCATTATCGATATCTCTATCGATCTCAGGGTTGATCTCACTATCAGTCCCACGACCCATGTACTTCAATCGATCTCACTATCGATATCAATACTGACTCCCATATGGAACTCACAGACGATCTCACTGTCGATTTCACCATCCATTCGGCTCGACCGATGTTACGATCGATCGTACGATCGAACACACGATCAATCTAACGAAACATCTCACTCAACCGATGCCACGATCGATCTCACTATCGATCTCACTGTCGATCTCGCTGCCGAAGCCGTTATCAACCTCACGATCGACCTTACTGAATTGACCTCTCTGCCAATGTCACCATCGATCTCACTATCGATCTTACGATTGATCTTATTGTCGATCTCACATCATGGTTCTCACGATCGACATAACTAGCGATCTCACGATCGACCTCACCATCGTTACCATAACTCAGCATAAACAAGTACATATCATGGCTGGGACGCCCCCGCGCCACGGGACGCCGCGGGAGAGAGAAAGAGAGAGAGAGAGGAAAATAGAGAAATAGAGAGAGAGACGGAGAGAGACAAAGATAAAGAGAGAGGGAGGAACATCGAATAAGCAAACCGGACCACACCGTATGTTCGACTCGACTAGGGCGGGAGGGAGGCCAATCGAGGCACCTGCGAAAAAACATCAAAATCATCTGATTGGGATTTCTCTGGTGTAATGTAGAACCACCGCATTCGAGATCGATATTCGGGGACTTCGGCAGGGAAAGAATATGGATATGTTTGGCCTGCCGAGGTCCCTGACGATATGTTTAGGTCGGGCCTGTCCCCCATACATGGGGATGTTGGACGAAAGATAAACAAATACCCAAACATTTCAAAATATGCACCAAAATACAAAAAAAAATAGCCAGACTATTTGTTGACTATTTTTGAATATTCCCCCTGTAGAGGGACAGGCCCGACTTATCGATATGTCCACAGGGCGGTGGTTATGGAAAACCCTCTGCGAGCAGCGGCAGGGGGACGCAGGCAGCGTAGCAGGGGCCCACGGGCCTCTGCTGTACAACCAACAACAGGAAGCGACGGGCGCCCTCTTCATCGGGAGCGGCCAAGAGGGGGGTGTCCAAGAGGGGGGGTGCAAATCATGACCGGCGGCATGTGCGCGGCCCAGCGGGGGGGGCCAGTGACGTAATGAAATAAGAAGGGGCGCCATGAAATCCGGGGAGATCTCATGGCCCCCGCCATGATATCCACCCCCCCCTAGTCATCACCCCCCTCTTTGCCGCCCCCGATCTTCAGGGCCCCGTAGACGGAGACTTTCTGATAAACCAGGGCGTTGGCACGCCCGCGAAAGCTTGGAAGCCGTGGACAAACCCCATTCCTCAGAGTCCTAGCTCACAACGTCACGGCTTCGATAAGCCCGCCCGCTTCCGGAGTCCAGGTCTCCGAAGGGCCGTCTTCGGGCCCATGGGACCGTCCCAAAAACCAGCTCGCGGCGGAAGGTCGGTCCTGTGCAGAGGAGAGAAGAACCCCCTTTGGAACCTGGGACAAAGCAACACGCCACAGACTATTGCGCCACCGCGTGGGCAAAGGTGGACCAGAGGCTGGTGGCGCCTCCGACAATACCTGAAAGAACTGAGCTGACACATGCCCGCCGGTCGTACGGTCGGACCAGGGACATAACGACAGCCGTCAAAAACATGAGGCCTCCGCTGCCAAAACACACGGAACATCCAAGGGTACCCTCCCTAGGTTACACAATGGCATCCAATACACACGAAGGGACACTAGGCTACCCTACCCGAGCCGACCTCGATCTCATACCTCGGCCCGACTGTATGTGAAGCCACACGGATGCTGGGCGGCTCGGCATCCTCAGGCCATGCGCCTGCGACCTCCGGCGAGCGCCGTCCGAACCGCGGCGAAAAGCTGGTCCTGGAGGCAGGTGCGAGAGGTCCGGGGGACGGCGCCGCAACATGGGCGCGGCGTCCGATGGCGGCAGGGGCAGTGCTGATGAAAGAGGAGCACGCGCTGCACAGTTGCAGGGAAGAGGAACGGAGAAGGGTAAGGCGACGAGGGCGCGCCGCAGGTGCGGGTGCGAGTCGTCGGACCTCGAGGGCGGCCCACGTTCGAGCAGGGACCCCCGTCTGGCGACACGCATCTGTAGCCCCCCTTCAGAAGACCAGCCCGGGAACCCACCGATCCTCGAAAGCGAGGCCTTTTGTAGAACGACCACGCGTGCATGCACCGCACTGATGCCCGTCTCTGCTGCGGCGATGCATGGCGCCGCAACTGCCTGCTAAAAATGCCCACAGCCGATCGGACGCAGCCTGCATCTTCTGAGGGGCGGCGCGCTGGTCCTCGTTCCGCTCGAACTCCTCCGCCATCCAGACGGGCGCCTCACCGTGTTCCCCGCCACACATCACCACCGCAAACACGTTGTGAACGGAGATGCCAGTGACGATCACCTCTGGATGTATGAAAGATGCAAGAGCAACGCGCTGACTTATGACGTAGATGCTCGATCTCATTGGTGGGCGGCGGGTAGGCGACGACGTTGGTACAACATCTAATGGTAGCGAGGGAGAGAATCGGTGAGGAGAGGTGGGAGCCGCCAGGCAGAGCGCATTCCAGAGTCTGTTTCGATTTCACATAACCTCTTGGTCAGGCCCGCTTGCTCGATTCATCCGCTGCAGGGTCGTCAGTACACCAGGATATCCCTATCAAGGTCAGCGGCACAAGCGGCAGATGAGCCTGCCAATCATTGAACCCATCGACAGAAACGCACGAGGCAGCGGATCTTGTGCTGTCATGTTTGCCCTATGGTCTGGAGACCGCGACGCAGAAAGGAAACGGCATGCCGCCATGCACACAGGTCACGCCTAGAGCTGTCAACCCAATTCCTGTCCAACAGAGCTGCTCGGCCCTGATCGATGCGCAAGGGTCCAGGGGTGCGCAGACGAACCAAACCAACACGCCGTGCCATTCTGCTCCCCGATGCCCAGGATGCCGAGCACAGGGCTGAACTCCTGCTCTCGGCGATGGGCAACCACGCGTGACAAAAATGCGCCGGGGAACTGTGCTAGGGGGCCACATGCGAACCCTACCCCTACCCCCCCACGATTTCTGAGGGGGAGGGTGGGGTTTTCACTTCGCTCGGGAGCTCCCGAACGAAGGGAACCCCACCCTCCCCCTCAGAAATCGTGTGTGGGTGGGGGTAGGGTTCGCAGTTGGCCCCCTATGTGTGGGGGGAGGGAATCAGGCGCCAGCAGAAGCCTCTGCAGGGCACCGGCACTCGAAGACCATGTGCTCACGAGTGCGTGCCCGGCCGCGCTCCGCGTCTTGCGCTCCCAGGCTCTCCGCACGCCCTTGCTCAACTTGGACGGGAGACAAGAGAGCGAGGCGGACGACGGCGGCATGTCGGCCCAGCTCTGGGGCCTGTCCCGCGGCCCCCCCGCTGCGCGCGCTCGCCTCATCTGCCTGGCCCCCCCTCCGTCGCCCCTCCCCATCCGTCTGGGGAGGGGGCCGATGTCTGCGGATGATGGCGTTGTACTGCGGCCACCGGATGCGGGGTGACCTTGCCTCACCCGGCCTGCCGTACCCTACACATTAGCTGACGCGGAGAAGCAGGGGAAGGGGGAATGCTCAGGTATTATCGGAAGCTTCTCGATTCCAATGCCCGTGAATCTTATCTCGGGTCTGATGGTCCTGTTGTTCTTGTCGATAGTTTCTAGAGGCGGGAAGGGGAGAAGGTGGCTGGCAGTAAGAAGCACCGACAGGAGGATGAGGTGGAGGAGGTGGAGGCTTGACACTGTCTAGGTGCACCCTTCCTGCAGCATTCCCCAACGTTTACCCCTAACCTTTCCAAGGGTTGGGTTGGACCTTCCTGTGCTGGGTATGGACCCATACTCTTCCCAAATCATTGCCACCGTCATCCTCCACACTCCCCCTGCTGAACTAGTCTGGCGTGCCATGGCGTGCCTCGGGGTATCTAAGTGCCTCTCGGCCACCTCCGACCGCGGCGTGGACCCTTGCCGCTGCGACCCAAAAGTCCAGGGGGATCACGAGGGCGTCTCCCTGGCGCTACCAAGCTGCAGAGGGGTCAGAGCTCCAGGACATTTGTTTTAGGGTATGGGGGCCTGGGTCGCGGCTCGCGCGAGCTGCCAGACGCGATCTATAAAGCCACAGGTTTGGGGGCTGCTCCTGCAGGTGTTTGACGGTGCTCGACTGGTTTGGGGGATGCCAACAGTTTGTCATGAACGATTGAGTGTGCCCGGAGATGATGGTGGTTCCCAAAAGCTTCAGCACTTCCTCGACATGGCGGTCCAGCTGCCTTCCATTGCAGGCGGAGCGAACCGCCGGCACTACCGAGCTGATCCAATCATCGAGCCACGTCCGCGGAGGGAGTCGCCATTGGGGTGCGCTTGTGAGGATTCGGCCGATTGCGCGCGGCGCCGCGGCGGTTACTGCGCCTCTTTTGCTGTAGCCTCGCCTCGCAGACGATTCCGACAGAACCTGGCCTCTGCTTGGCGGCGGGCACAAGGGGGATGGCGCGAGGAGGCGCCCTTGGAAGAACGCGAAGCGCTCCTAGGAGGCAGGGGTCTTCCTGTAGAAGCGCCTGGGTTCTCCCGAGAAGACGTCTCAAAGCTGGGCGGGCTTCTCAGGAGCCACCTGTGATCTCCGAAGCCCTCGGCGCCTTCTCGGAAGCCCGCCCGCCTCTCGCGCCACTCCCTGGGCACGCGCCGCCCTTTCCTGGGAGCAGCCGAAGCCGTGGCAGCGGAGGAGGGAGGAGGGGAGGGAGGGGGGAAGTTGGAGGGGGCCGGGGGATCTGAACTGGTTGGGGTCTCAGAGAAGCGGTCAGGAATGTGGGATGAAGCCAAAGTGCACCTGAGAAAACCCCAGTGGATGGTTTGGAACTTAACACTATGGATCTTGAGATAGATTGTGAGATCGATACTGAGATCGAAAGTGGAATCAATAGTGAGGACGATTGTAAGGTCGATCGTGAGACCGAGAGTGACAACGATCCAATGAGATCGATAGTGAGATCGATCGCGAGATCGCTCATGCGATCTCTAATGAGATTGCTTGTGGGATCGATAATGAGATTGATTGGGAGATCGAAAATGAGATCGATAGAGAAATGGGTAATGAGATCGATGGTGGGACCGATCGATAAGAAGATCGACCAAGCACCCAGGAACCCGGAAACCTCGCCGCCCTCCGAAATCGGCCCGGACCCCGGAACCGGGAACTCGGGAACCCGGAACCAGGAACCCTGGAACCCAGCGTGCGACCATCATCGGCGGAAAACTTTCGCCAAATCCTTCAACTTCCGCGAGGACCCCTTCAGTGCAAGCACTGATTGGGGAATCAATTCAAAATCGTTCGTCCCCGGACCCCTCCCTGGGTCCTGGGTCTATCTGGTGCAATTTGTTGCCACGGATCCGTTCTCACGGCCCAGAAACATGAAAAAGGCACCCGAAGGCCGAGGCAAACACCTGTCCGACCCCCCCCCCCGTACACAAAAAAAGCCTCGAACCTGCCCGCGCTTCTTGCTGGCCGGAACCAGCGCTGGGCCGCCTAAGACCCCCAGACGGCTCCGAGGGGGAAAGCGGTCACTATGCCCATCTGCTCGCACCAGTCGTGGAAGGTGACGTACGGGGCCTGGCGCCAGGCGGGGCCAGGCGTCGGCGGCATGCGCGGGGCTCGCTGGCCGGCCCCGCGGGTCGCCCTCCCCGCACAGTGGCTGCGCCCTGCGTGCTGCCGCTGCTGCGTGCTGCTCCTCCAGCATCCGCCTCCTTCCGTCAGGAGGAGGGCGTGGACACGCGAAAGTGCCTAGCCCGCGCGCACGCGCCAGGCGCATGTTGGGTCCCCCCCGCCCCCAAGTTGGGTCCACCAGTGGAGCCGTGGACACGTGAAAACATGCGCCCTGCGCGCACGCGCCAAATGCATGTTGGATCCACCCTTTCCACGAACGTGCATTCATGTGTAAAGAATCCAGCGCACCCAAGTTGGGGGGGGGCAGTCGAACCTTCCTCTGAGTATCAAGCTTGTGATTGGCTTTCTGTTCGGTGGCGCTTCCAGGGTTTGGGCCCCGGGGCTCTCCTGGCCCAGTGGCCCATTGTTGGGCCATCCTCGACTGTCGTGCTCGATCGAGTGCGGCACTCGCCAGGCTGTCAAGGAGCGTGCCTGCTTTCGTGGATGCCCGCTTCGTTCCGTTCCTGTTCAAGGCAGGGAAATATACAAATCCACCGCCTTGGGGCGCCAATGTCCCAAGACCCAGGGAGGCGGTGGATGTGGACGTACTCGGGACCTAGGGCCCCAGATCACGTAGCACCCCACACTTGCGGATAAGAGTGAGGGGCGGCCGCGGAGTGGGGTCGCGACGTGGGTCGCGGGGTGCGTCGCGGGATGGATCACGGGTGGGTCGCGGAGGGGTCGTGCGGGGGTCGCGCGGGGGACCACGACAACAACTAACAACAAGAAACATGTAGAACCTGGGACACGGACTTCCACTGGTGTAAGACCGTTCGACCCCCTCTCTCTGTTGCATCCGTATCCATCGCCCCGAAGGGTACTGAAGAATCGGCTCCCCAGGGTGCGGATATGCGTAAGCTTTGGGATTCGACCCTGGTGCTAGATAGGGAGAGGACACACGCAGGCTGAGAGGCAGCAACAGTGGGAGGCGGCGCAACTACTGCATGAGAGGAGAACGACGAGGACGGTCATCCTTGATTCTCTTGCGCAGGGTGTCTAGAGCTCCCACCACTTTATTCCGCGTCGCACCCGCCCCCCCCGCGTCCCCAGCGCCAGAGTGGGACCCCCGCGCCGTGGTTCTCTGCCCCGAGCTCCCCCGCGTCCCCAGCGCCCCAGCGGGAGCCCCGCCCACTGCCCCCTCCGCCACGAACGCTCTATTCCGCGTCGCACCCAACCCCCCCGCGTCCCCAGCGCCAATGGGACCCCTGCGCCGTGGCTCTTTGCCCCGAGCCCCCCCGCGTCCCCAGCGCCCCAGCGGGAGCCCCACCCACTGCCCCCTCCGCCACGAACGCTTTATTCCGCGTCTCACCCCTCCCCCAGCGTCCCCAGCGCCAGAGTGGGACCCCCGCGCCGTGGCTCTCTGCCCCGAGCCCCCCCGCGTCCCCAGCGCCCCAGCGGGAGCCCCGCCCACTGCCCCCTCCGCCACGAACGTTTTATTCCGCGTCGCGACGCACACCACCTCCCCCACCTCCCTCCCCGCGTCCCCAGCGCCCCAGTGGGGGCTCCGCCCCGTGCCCCCTCCGCCCCGACAATTTTACCTCCGCGTCGCGACGCACACCACCTCCCCCCCCCGTCCCCAGCGCTTCAGTTGGACTCCCGCCCCGTGGCCCTCTGCCCCAAGCCCCGCCCAATGCCCCCTCCGCCCTGACCATTTTATTCCGCGTCGCGACGCACACCACCTCCCCCTCCTCCTCTCCGCGCCCCCAGTGCCCCAGTGGGACCTCCGCCCCGTGTCCCCTCCGCTCCGAGCACTGTATTCCGCGTCGCGACGCACACCACCTCCCCCCCTCCTCACCTGGGATTTGGGTCCCGTTGCTGGGCCCCGGGGGGCGATGTCTTGCCCCCTCTTCCCCCCTCCTCCTCCACCTCCTCCTCCTCCCCCTTCCTTTTTGTGGAAGAGCCATGGCACACGTGCAACTTGTTTCCTCCTCCCTCCCTCCCTGGCTGTCCTGCCAAGCGTCGCAGGTTGACTCGACCGGTTGGAAGCCGTGCCCCGAGAAGTATGCTCCACGTTTTCTTGAACATCATATTGGCTTGAGCACAATTGGGTAGTGTGTCCAGGCTTGAGCGTTTAATCAACAGGTGCACCTGAAAGATATCAGATTCGTAACGTCGGCCCCCTTTAAACGGTTCTGTGGTTGAAGGCGTCAGTGGTGTAACCAAAAGTATGTGTAGTATGCGGTGCGCGGTTGCACGTGTTATGGGAACCTTCACACATCTAGTGTAGGGTCTCACCCAAAGGTGCACAGACTGTTCCGAGAAGTGCATCATACCACCAGCCGTTTGGGTCAAGGTGGTCTGACAGGTCAATCCCTTCCTCTTCCAGAAAGCCGCTTCCCTTCGGGGAGGTTTACCCCCCCCCCCCTCCCTGGGTCTGGACGGGGGGGGGAACGGAGTGATCAGAGCGTCCCAGGTGGCCCACTCTGGCTCCAGAGGGCCTCCGACGATACACTATGGCCTCCAAGGCGGCTCGCGATATCCCAGGACGTCTCAGGGTAGCTTCCGACAGATCTCCAAAAGCCCTGACCAGGGTGGTTCCACGTGCTCTCGGAGCCCCTTGCAGGATCCCTCCCAGGGGCCAAGACCTTGTAAGCATCGAAAGATAATTCATGATGGCCGTCTTCAAGCCTTTTCGCTTTGGGCGACTCAAGATGGCCCCAGGATGGCCCAAGAGCGGCCCAACAGGGGCCCAAGAGGCCCTCCAGACGGCCCCACGAGCGCCCCAAAGCGGCCCAAGAGCGCCCCAAGAGGGCCCAAGATGCGATTCCTAGCGGGGGGAGGGCAATTGGGACTGCCCCCGTTTGGTCGATGGCCTCCAAGATGGCCCCAAGAGGCCCTCCAGGGCTCCCGAGGGAACCCTAAGAAAGCTCAAAGAGGGCCCCAAGATCCTCCATAAGAGCCCCAAGAGGACCCCGAGATCCCCCAACAGAGCCACACCAAGAGGCGATGTTGGGGGCTCTGTCCTCGTTCTCATTGTCCTCCTCATCCTCCTCCTCCTCGTCTTCGTCCTCGTTCTTGCCCTCATCGTCTTCCGTTTTCTTTTATTCCCCTTCCTCGTTGTGGTGGTCGTCGTGGTCGGCGTCGTCTTCTTCCTACTCCTCCTCCTCCTCCTTCCCTCGCCCCCACGCGGGACCCAGGGATGGTCCAACGAGGCCCTCCGAGACCACACCCTTGCCCCCAGAGATCTCTCTGCTCATCCTGGTTGCCCGCGTTGTTTCACCACATGTGGTTCCTCGTCCCTTTCTTTTTCCGTCAACTCCCGACTGGGATTGTGAATGGGCCGGTCGGGGTACGCGAAGCGTGAGGACTTCTAACGTAGCTTACAGCACTTTGAAACATATTCAGAGGGTTGCGGTACGATCCGAAACTAGGCCTGCAAACTGTCTCAAATACTGTGGAGGCGTCTCGTGAAACATCCCAGGGAACCCGCCGAGGGAGCCTGAAGCAGTCGCCGCCCTCCTCCTCCTCCTCCTCTTCCTCCTCCTCCTGCTCCTCCTCCTCCCTTTCCTCCTCCTCCTCCCTTTCCTCCTCCTCCCTTTCCTCCTCCTTCTCCTCCTCTTTCTCCTCCTCCTCCTCCTCCTCCTTCTTCTCCTCCCCCTCCTCCTCCTCCTCCTCCTCCTCTTCCTCCTCCTCCTCCTCCTCCTCCTTCTCCTCCGCATCCTCCTCCCTCCCCCCCCGAAAACTCCGAGGACGCCTCCTCCTTGGCGCACCCCTCTCGCGCACCTGCGTGCCTCGCGGCCTCCCGGCGAGGCTTCTTCCACTGCGGCTCCACTCTGCGCACCCCTCGCTGCACCTCCCGGGCCTCCCGTGTGCACGGTGTCGCGTCGTGCCCGCCGGCCCCCGACAGCCCTCCCGCTGAGACTGGACTCGCCCCACCCCTGACGCGCTCCGTGCCCGCTGTCTCCCCAGGAGCTTCCGCTGGGCTCGAAAAAACGGCACAAGGCAGCTCTGGGCGATCGGCGCCTCTGCAGATGCACACGTGAAGTGGGCACGGGCCACTCGAGCTGCGAGGCTGTCACAAGCTCTCGCCAACTCGGGACGGCCCAGGAGTGGAAGAGGATGAGGGGAGAAGAAAGATAAGGAGGATGACGATAGTGTGATCACAGAATGAGGACACTGAGGACTCCGCTAGCCTCCTTGGGGGCCGCCAGGCTGCGGAACTGAAGCTGCCCTGCACTCCTTTCTACCTTCTCCTCCAAGGGTTCTCAAACGCCCACGGAGGTCTCAGCACACGTAAGGATACAACAAATGCGCGCTCCCGAGGCCACACCCCCTCGTAGATTACAACGGAACCGCGCCCCCCGAGGGCACGATCCCATGTGAAATACGTTGTACTCGCGCTCCCGAGGCAACTATCCGTCGCAATGACTGCGTCATTCGCGCCCCAGAGACACGATATCAGAACATTACGCAACGCCCCGCGCGGAGTCACATGAGTGGGGGTGGGGGGAGCTCAGGGGGGGAACCTCGACCTTCGACGACGTCTCGAGGCTCGAAGCTTCAGATTTGCGGACGTGCTCGGCATTCTCCAGCGGCTGCGCCTTGGTGAGGGCTCTCGATCGTTCCGGACTGCCGCCGGAGGCCCGAGTTGTATGGTCCAGAACTTTGCTTGACGTGTCGCGGCGGCGGCCCCGGCGACACGCGATGCCCTGCGAGCGGACAGCGTGTCGCTCCGCTCCGTGGGGCGGGAGGCTGACAGACCCAGAAATGGATAGCAAATCGCACCGAAGCGTGATGGGCCGGAACCAGCGGCGCGACACGCTAAGCCAGAGTTCATGACGGTATCACCGGAAAACCGCCAGGAAACTGGCTCAGACGGGGAAAGCATCGATCTGGAATGGGCGATTATACTTTGATGCGAATACAGATAACACGATGTATACATATTTGAAAGGGTACCAAAAACAACACACCATACAACTACTCGTAATACTCGCAGAATGATAGCTGTTGTAAACGTAGAAATAACAAACATTCTCATAATGTTGAGAATGTTAGTTGTAGTAACAGGAGTGATAATACTGATAGTGTTGATACCAAAAAATAATCCTGATAATAAGCGACTGGCCCTTGATAATTCGCGAATCCGCACGGTCCAAGGAGGGGCGGGGCCATCGAGCCGCTATCGGCGATGCGTCGGCCCTGGAGCCTACTCCCCCCAACGTTGCCCCTGATCCCAGGGAGCCAGATCGAGCCGAGGACTTGGGCGCCAAGTGCGGCGCGCGTGGGCCAGCAGCTGACGGCGCCGTGGGCGGAAAGCCGTCTGGACCCCCGGAAGGAGCACCTCGGAGCCTCCAGATCGCACTGGGACGCAGATGTGTCAGCATAAAACAAAGTCGAGCCCCTGAGATCCTCCCCATCCTCTCACCCCTCCTCCATCACATTGTCAAGCTCCCAACCGTCTCCACCTTTCTCCATCACATCTGCCTCCTCCATCTCCTCCTTGCCCTCATCCTCCTGGTCAGCCCTCCACCCACCCTAGTTGAGGTGAGTGAGACAAGCTGGAGGCGCCTTCTCGATTGCGGCCGGACGGGTGGACGTGTATGCCGCAAGGGTGAGGATGATGGTCAGCGAGATGCTCATGCGACTCGGAGCGCGTCTTGTCTTGACCACTCCCCAGGGAGGGTAGATGAGGTAGAGGTGGGGAGCGAGGAAGAATATATGGAGAAGCAAAAAGGATGATGAAGAAGGAGGAGCGCCAGAACCATTCGAGGCGGACAATGGAGAAGACAGGACGAAGGAGGGGAAGGGGGAGGAGCAGGAATAGATTATACTGGCGCTCCTCCTCAAATAAACAATTAACGGAGAAGGAGAAGGAGGAAGAGGAGGTGAAGGAGTAAGATGATGAGGACGGAACGTCGAATATCGCGACGGCCTGGACAGCTCCGGCGAGACGCTGTCCCAGAAGGACGTGGACGCCAGCAGCACGAGCAGGTTCATAATCACGAGGTCCCAGAAGTCCGACGCCCCAGCGCTGGCTGAGGAAACCAAGTTCGAGCCCTTTCCTCAACACGGCAGGCTAAGGTTTTTATACTTACTGAGAAGAGCTGCCGAACCGTCTCGAACACCCTCACACCACGGCCGCCAGGTCTAAAGTGCGGCGGTGCTCCCTGGGGATCCCGCCTCCCGCTTTCGACGAGTGCCGTGCGCATACCGCGGCCGCCAGGCCACATGGGACTCAGTGCTCCCCAAGCCCTAGGTGTCCCGCTTCGATTTATCGGGTGGACATCGCTCGAAACAAACCTATGTCGTTTATTTCTGTTTTGTTGTTATGTTTCAGCTGTCTGTGACAAGTCTCACCACCGTCACAATCTGGCAGTTTGGGTGGCGACCCTGCCAGGGGCATGGAAGGCCGTCATGTGTGACATCACGCATCTCCAGGCTTGGGGAAGCTGTGATAATGGTGATGGTGATGGTGATGGTGATGGTGATGGTGATGATGATGATGATGATGATGGTGATGATGATGATGATGATGATGATAATGATGATGATGATGATGATGATGATGATGATGATGATGATGATGATGATGAGAATTGAGATGGAGAAAAAGTGACCATGTCGAGGACAAGGACGATCAGAGGGGTCTCCTTACGCCGACTTGGGGCTCTCCTGCCATTCGTTGGTCTCCAAAACACAGGGACCTCCGGAAGCAGCCGGAACCTCCAGGCCGCAAAGATGGGGGGCCCCGTTGGCCAGGGGCACCATTAGCAACACCCGAACGACCAAGCTCGGGCTGTTTGCCTCGCGCGGAGGAAGCGGGCCCCCTGAGGGAGACGGGACCTGGACCCTAATCAGTGCCTTCCCCCAGGACGGGATCTTCATCCTGAGCCGTTTCCCGACAGTCCCGTGGCCCGTGGAGGGCCCCGGGAGCCCGAACACGGCGAAGGAAAACCTCAGGACCCGCTCCTTGGCGGCAAAACGGCGGAGAGAACGGCCCGAAAACGGCGGAGAAAACGGCGAAGAAAACCCGAAGCCCGAAAAACGGCGAAGGACACGCTCCCCTCAGGACCCGTTTCCTTGGGCGGCAGTACAGGGGGAGGCGATAGATGGGAGGAGGGGGGGAGGCAGCGAGGGCTGCCGGAAAAACGGCCCCGCAGGGCGCCTTGTGACACCCCCACAGGGCCCAGAGGGGGGCCTTCAGGGCCCGAGAAAAGAGAAACCACCTGCCTTCCCTCCCCATTTGTCGCCCCCTCCCCATTTGTCGCACCCCTTTTGCCGCCCCCCAGTGATCGCTTGTCGCCCCCGCCCCCCTCCCCCCCCCCTCCTCCCTTTGCCGCCCCCCCATTTGTCGCCCCCCCATTTGTCGCACCCCAGTTGTCGCCCCCCCATTGTTCGCTTGTCGCCCCCGCCCCCTCCCCACCTCCCTTTGCCGCCCCCCCCGCTACGTCGCGCCCAATTTCCTCCACTCGCCATCGCTCGGACGTCCATCCCCTGTGTTTTTTTCGGTTTCGTGCGTGGTTTTTTCGCCAAATGATCAAGGATGCTCCTCGATGGCCCTCGCCGAAGGAAAAAAGCACACGTCCGAGCGATGCCAAGTCCATGGTGATTTCCGCTGGCCACCGCCAGACGAGCCGCCCCAGGCGGCGCGGTACCCCCGCCGGCTTGCGCGCGGCCGTCCGCCGGGGGGCTCCTGAGAGGCGAGGCCCTGCTCTCGGAGCACGCCGCAGGTGCCGTCCTCGCCACCGCTCGGGCGTCCATTCCCCGGGCATGCGTCGGTCTCGTGCGCCCTTGCTTTTGCGACATGATCCGGGATGCCCCCCGATGGACCTCGCCTAGAAAAAACTACACACGTCCGAGCGATGCCAAGCCTCCTCCCGCCAGGGGGACCGCGGAGCTGCCTGGGCAAGACCCTGATCCGCAGGAGGCCCCTGATCCGCCTGTCTGGGCAAGCCCCGTGTTAAGATAAAGAAGAGGAGGAGAAGAGGAGGAAGAGGAGGAGGAAGATGCGGAGAGGGAGGAGGAGGAGGAGGAAGACGTGGAGAAGGAGGAGGATCGAGATTGGGACCGGGCTCGTGGAGTTCGCGTGACTGCTCGACTCGGGGCGGCTTGAACCTGGGGGCCTTGCTACGCCTGGGAACTCTGAGTGGCGCTTCTTCAAAAAACGGCGACCTCACCGGCGACCACTGCTCTCTCGGGCAAGGAGGATAAGGAGGAAGATAACGACGAAAGAGCAAAAGCAGCCGGAAGAGGTTCAGAAAAAGGCGAAGCAGGAGGAGCAGGAGCAAGAGGAGCAGGCGGAGGTGGACGAGGGGCAGGAGGGGCAGGAGGGAACACCTCCGAGGGCCTGTAGACACCCCCCCAATAAGTAACAATCAAATATTGTTTTGGCGGTTTTATTGGCGGACTGGTACCCACCAAGGGGACGAGGAGAAGCAAGGTCAACGAAAGAGAAAGCGGACGCGCAAGAGAAGGATCAAACGGCGGAAGACGTGGACGAGGATGGCCAGAAGGAAATACTTCTCGCTCGGAGGACGGGGGCTCGCGCGCCCACCTGCGGCACACTCCCACGACATGCTGTGCGGATTGCTCGGGGACTGCATCGAATGGTGACACATCGAGGGGACTATAGGTACCATTCCGAGCCGCATGAGGGCTGGACGGTTGCGCAGCCCGATGCGACTGAAGGGCTCTGAGACAGGCACCGCAGCGTAATGAACGTCGAGGCGCTTGGATTATTTCCAGAAGGAGTGCCACATCTTCTTTGGGTGCCTGCCGTGAGCCATGATACAACGAATGCGGGGCAAACATGCACTCAATTCTGCTGCTGCCACTGCGTGCGTATTCCGCCCCACGCAGTGGCAATGAAAACAATGATGGAAGAACGGTTGTGGCAAATCCAGATGGAATGGTGAAAAGCGCTGGTTGACAGCTGCAGCAAGACTACAGAGACTCGATGGGAAACGTAAACCAAGTTTACGATCTGTAGGCTGCGCAGACGACAGAGCCCCAAATCTCTTGGGCACTTATACAAGGACCGAATATCGGGAAACATCGGGAGGCTAGCACGGGTATCTCCGGTGGGCATGTCCCGCATGTGCCGAGTCACCTCCACAATTTCTACGAAACTCCGAACAAAATAGATTGTTGTTGGCAAGCGTT